GCATAGCTCTCAACGAATGTAGTCCTGTAAATAAATGAATAAAGAAATTGTGTAATAAAATGCCTCTGGCGGGACTCCAACCTGCGACCTCTCGCTGTCAAGGCGAGCGTCATAACCACGGTGGCTTCATGGTTGAACAGATTCAAATACCACCAGATAAACTCCATTACACAATAGGTACGGCTAGAAACAATATAGGTACATATAATATAAATCAAGATAGCCGTTAACACTGTTAAATTATATATAATAAATCATCAAAGAAAGGTAAATACAGTGTTTAATAAAGGACAATAATACATCGCGTAGCATAGCTCTTAACGAATGTAGTCCTGTAAATAAATGAATAAAGAAATTGTGTATTTATCTCCAAAATCACTGCATAATTTACATTTGAGAAAAAAAATGTATTTTGTCTTCAATATCCCACTTACAAAAGCAAATTCTATCATTAAAATCAATTTTCTCCCTTCCTAAAATTTTTAAATGAGGAAAGAAGTAGAAATACTTTTGAAATATGGATTTAAATTAGAGAAAATGGAGTTTTCAAAGCACTAAAATGTTTAAATGAACATTAACTTTTTAGCCTACTTGACTCATAACATGTGACACCCAAAGTCTTGTTGGTCAATATCTAAAGAACGTTGTTTAAACATATTTAAAAAAATATGTATCATGATAACCCCTTGTTTAAACCAGCTTTCACTGAGCCCATAATGAGATAGGAGTGAATGAACTGCGTTAGCCCAAAATTAATCATCATCATCATCAACAAATCGCAATGGTTTGATATACGCGTTATAAACAAGTCTATTTCAATCGTTTTTTAAAATTTTTAATCAATATTTAACAAGTTTATATAATCTATAACTCGCCTCTTACAGCCAGGTTAACAAGAGTTATTTTTCTGTTTGAATATGCATTATAATAAATTTTTTGAACATATTCTAAATCAGCTCCATGATTGAGGATAGGCATACTTTTACATCAATTATCTTGAATTTGAAAATACATAGAATGTCCTTAAACTTCCTCCTCGTAATGTAAAGTTGAATAACTATGTTTTATGGCCACTGTTGGTCATATCGGACATTTAATCACGGAGGTATAATATTTTTTTATTATGGCCATGATTTCACATGCTGTAAAAAATAATAATGTTTACTCAAAACAATTCTCCTTGTCATTCTACAGTACAGATATTGTTGATGGCTGACCACTTTAAGTAGATTGTATGCTGGATTGTTTAATAATTATAAATATGAATTATGATTTTTATATCATTTTATCTTTTATTTTTAGTAATTGCTGTAAAGGTAAGGCGCAAAAGAGAATCTTCTGATTCTGAAGGTCAACCACATCCAAAGTATGCTCTTAGTTTGTTAACCGAACTTGATGAAAATAAAGGCAATCTGACTTTAGAGGATAAGGCAGAATTTTTTGACAAATTTGAGAAACTTATCAACTATTATAAAAAACATGGTTTAAAGCTGAAGAAGGTTGGAAAAGGATCAATAGTATTTTATGTATCAACAAATGATCCCAATGCTTTGATGAGTCTATGGGAAATACATTCTAGTGGAAAGCTTCTCAAAGATTTAGCTAAATTATTAGTCCCAGAGGAACATCAGCAAGAGTTCATAGATGAATGGATGACGTACATCGATGAAAATGAATACAAAGTGTTGCTCAGTAAGCTGAAAGAAAAAGGTGAGAAAATATGAAAATTATAAGCCAGTTGGATAACATTTTAAAATTATGTTTCTATAAAAATGACATGCTTGTTGCTAAATTATACTAGTTCAAAGGAAAAGGCTATCATTAATGCATGTTCGCCCACTTATGCTGCCATCAGGAAAATCCGATTTCCCATCAGGAACATCTCCCATGCTGCATTTTCCTCCCTTACCAGCTTCAGTCCATGCCACTCGACTTTTTGCAAAAACTTTGGTAATAATTCATGCATGTAATCACTTATATATCTACTAGGACACGTTCTGCTTGTTTTTAACTTAATTTCTTATCCTATTAAGGGGAAATCTTTTTTCTGTTTGAGGCAAAAGAAATAGTCCATAAAGTTGGCATTGAGCTGCCTCACAATTTACAGTAGTATATTTGACCTTGGCATCAGCCCTGATAAGGTTTCAAAACAGAAATTAACAAGTACAGAGTTGTAATAACTACATAAAAGATAGATTGTGCTTTAATCAGTGTATATTTAGACATGTTCATAGTCTTGGTTAGTATAAACAAACAGAACCTGTCCTACAGAGACAAAAAAAATTTTTAGTGCGCATGAATTTTTCATCCTGTCTGCAGAACATGGGCAACACAAGCAAATTAAACATACAGCCACATTCTTGAAAAGTTTAAGTAACTTCAGCCGCCTGTTTTATTAGTATCTCTTACTTGCTCTTTGTCACCTTTATTTTTGATAAAACAACCTACTGTATATAATAGTGATTCATGATGTTTTCCATTATTCTCGCTGATGAAGGCCACAGGAGTGTCACTCGCCACTGATGAAAGACTACTGTGTATATATATATATATATATATATATACACATATATATTTACATATATATATATACATATACACATATATATATATATATATAT